TAGAGAAATCCCCCAATCGGCTGCAGCTAGGTGTCTGCCTTATTTGGGCATGATGTCATGAGACGTTTGCTTTATTTGGGCATGGTCTGATCCATTGGCTGGAGCTCAGCTATTTGTCCTTAGCTGAAACCCAGTTATTGGTTACAAAAATATGCTCCTAAAACAGGTTTCAGTGTGTTTACGTACTGAGTTAGGTTGCAGTTTGTTATGTAGGAACTCAAATTATGGAGACAGGCTAATGGCCTCCTGCTGTTTTAATCATACACACACATAGGTAGATTCTTCAGTCTGTTCCTTGGCCTCTGTTTCTCCAGGTGAAAGAGGAAAGCACAGATTGAGCAATAGCAATGATGATGAAGGTGAGGATGAGGACAGCTCTTGCTTATTAAGCATCTCTGATTGGTGCACATGCTGTGCGGGGGACTTATCACGCGTTGTCTCACTAGATTCTCAGCACCACCTTGTAAGAAGGGGATCACGGGCAGGTGTGGTTGTGGTGGCTCACTCCTGTAATCCCAGCACTTTGGGAGGCTGAGGTGGGCAGATCATGACATTAAGAGATCGAGACCATCCTGGCCAATATGGTGAAACCCCATCTCCACTAAAAATACACACATACACACACAAAAATTAGCTGAGTGTGGTGGCACATGCCTGTAGTCCCAGCTACTCAAGAGACTGAAGCAAGAGAATCACCTGAACCTGGGTGGCGGAAGGTTGCAGTGAGCCGAAATCACACCCCTGCACTCCAGCCTGGGTAACAAGAGTGAAACTCTGTCTCAAACAAAAAAGAAGGGGATCATAGCTCCTATTGGACAGATTAGAAAAACGAAGTTTGTCAAGGTAAGTGGCATCCTATAAACTAGAAATGGCTGACCCTAAAGTTCTACTTTTAACCCCTCTGCTCTGTGGCGTCCAGGACCTCTGGCTCAAACATGCTGGAATCCTACCCGAATAGCTGCACCACACCCACTGGTGCAGGAGGGGACTGGACCGGGGCACAGAGACTAAGGGCCGCACAGCCACCTGACTTGTGGCCCGTGGAGACAGTGAGCAAAGAGAGGACAACAGCTGCTGGAACTCTGAAACCCCAGAGCAGACCCTGGGAACCAACGCTCTCCCCCTCCAAAAAGAAAACAAATCTGATGAGACAAACTGCTGAAAAGCACAAAAAGTGGAAAATAGAACTAAGAGTTATGGAATCCCAGCCACTGAGAAGAATACCACTGTAGCCTTAGCTGGCCTGCCGCCTCATAGCTGGGACGCTTCAGGCAAGTTACTGAACATCTCTGAGCCTCAGTTTCCTCATCTCCAAAATCAGGATAATAATAACCTACCTCTGGCTGAGTGCTGTGGCCCACGCCTGCAAACCCAACACTTTGGGAGGCCAAGGCAGACGAATAACTGAGATCAGGAGTTTGAGACCAGCCTGGCCAATATGGTGAAACCCCATCTCTACTAAAAATACAAAAATTAGCCGGGCATGGTGGTGAGCACCTGCAATCCCATCTACTAGGTAGGCTGAGACGGGAGAATCACTTGAACCTGGGAGGTGGAGGTTGCAGTGAGCCGAGATCGCACCATTGCACTCCAGACTGGGCGACAAGAGTGAAATTCCATCTCAAAAATAATAATAACCTATCTCTTCTCATTAGGATTAAATGAGGCCACATCTGTAAACCCCCAGCACAGTGCTTAGCGCAGACAGGCATTTGATAAGTGGCAGCTGGTGTTTCCCAAGGCATAATCCTGGTGGCTGTGGTGGTCTACCAGCAGGGGAAAGACATACAAGGAAGGGGAGCTACACTGGCATCTTGGACACCGTGCCATGCTGTCCCCTGTGAGGACACTGAAAAGGTGAAAGGCACGCAGCTGAAGAGAGGAAGACACTGAAGATTCAGGGACTCATGCCCATGGATATCCAAATTCTTGGCACTCATGTTAGATAGAAATATATATTGCGTGTGACGCTGAGACGACAATTCTAGTTGTTCCCAGTCAGAACTGCCCACGCGAGGACCAGGCTGGTTTGAGTAGTGGTGAGTACTAGTCACTGGAGTCCCCGTGGAAGTCACGGAGCTGGAAGGGGCTGCTGGGCTCCCAGGGCTGGATTCCAGGGGTCTTCAACATCTCTTTCCACTCAGTTACGGAATTCAATAGTTACCCACAACACTGCAATGTTTCTGCTCTGTGGTATACCTTTTTTTTTTTTTTTTTTTTTTTTTTGAGACAGGGTCTTGCTGTCTCACCCAGACTGGAGTGCAGTGGTGCAATCTCAGCTCCCGGCAACCTCCGCCTCCCAGGTTCCATCGATTCTCCTGCCTCAGCCTCCTGAGTAGCAGGGATTATAGGCGCCTGCCATCACACCCGGCCAAGTTTTTGTATTTTTAGTAGAGACAGGGGTTTCACCATGTTGGTCAGGCTGGTCTTGAACTGCTTACCTCATGATCCACCCGCCTCGGCCTCCCAAAGTGGGAGGGCCTGGGATTACAGGCGTGAGCCACTGCACCCAGCCTATGTGGCAGACCTTACTAGAAGCTCACACTTGGGAAAACCATTTCGCTTCTGGGCATAGACTAGTAGGGCGCTGGTAAACCAACTCGTAGAAAGAGGGAAAAAAAAAAATCCCACTGGAGATTTCAGCAGGCTGAGGCTGCGGAAGGGGTGGGACGATCAGTGATGGACACTGAAATAGAAAGATGCTCAGGAGAAGGCCCTGGGGGCAGGCTGAGGGGGTGTTGGGGGATGAGGAAGGCCGTGCACTGCAGGGAACGTTGCGCCATGGAACGGAGTCCTAAGAAACCCAGGCAGCGACACAGCGGATCAGGGCAGAAAGCAGGAGGCAGGCCGGCTGAGAGCCTTGCTCTGTGTGCCCCGTAGGCTGCGGGGCACTGCCTTTCTCCTTAAAAGTGTCTCTGTTGGTTGCTGTAATATGTCGCCTCCAAAGAACAGAATTTGGGTTTCTTTCCCAGCCGCCCACCTGGAGGAGGGCGGGGCCGGCCATGCTGTCTCCGGGCCGGCAGGGGGCGGTGTGGAACAGGCCCCGCAGCGCGGATCTCTGGCTTCCCGCGGACGGTCCAGGTCCTCATCCGCCTCATCCACCTGGGCTTTGGCAGCGTGCTGCTCATGGTTCGCCGCGGCCACGTGGGGATGTTCCTCATCGAGGGCGGCGTCCCCTTCTGGGGAGGAGCCCGTGTGAGTGCCGGGGCCATGGAGACGGAGGGTAGGGGGGATACTGCCCAGGCTCACCTCTCCCCCATGCGCCCACCTCCCATCCTCCTGGGCACAGCCTGTCCTAGGTGAGGGCCTGGAGACGCTTCCTAGAAGAACTGGGGTCCAAGTCTAACTCCTTCCCCTCAAACCCTCTCCATAAACCTGAACCTGACACCGCTCCTGCGGATGGAAAGCTCCCAGCAAACAGCCAGAGAAGCTGCCAAAAAGGACGGGAAAGGCCGGGCACGGTGGCTCACACTTGTAATCCCAGCACTTTGGGAGGCCGAGGCAGGCAGATCTTGACTTGAAGCCAGGAGCTCGAGACCAGTCTGACCGACATAGTGAAACCCCGTCTCTACTAAAACTACAAAAATTAGCCGGGCATGGTGGCGCAAGCCTGTAAACCCAGCTATTCGGGAGGCTGAGGCAAGAGAATCGTTTTAACCCGGGAGGTGGAGGTTGCAATGAGCTGAGATC